AGCCGGGGTCCAGCCAGCAAGGAGAGTCGCGGTCCAGCAGGAGGCTGGACCGGCCCTCCCTCTCGCTCCTTTGGGAGAGATTACCTGCTACCTCACCTCCCTCGTTTTTTTATTTGATCTCTTCCATGGGGGGGATTCCTTCCGATTTTATTCCATTCTTTTTCTATCCCCTTCCTATACTATCTAGCATCCATTATATGTATGTTATGTGTTTTTTTAGAAGAGAGTTTCTTCTTGTTTCTGATTTCAGGTTCCAGTCGACAAGAGAATCCCTTTGCTAGGATTGTATTCGAGAACAAGTCGTACTCTGGCTGTATCCTGCTCCGAGGTGGTGTTTACCACATTGATCCCTCGCCGTATCTAGCATCGCTGCCGCCACCCTCTTCTCTCTAGCCACCCTGTTGTCGCACATCCTCCCTACAACCAACCTATTGCCACGCCTCTTAACTGCAGCCATCCTGTTGCCGCACACCCTTCCAGCAGCCATCCTGTTGTCGCATGTCCTCCATGCAGCCACCTAGTTGTCGTACCTCTTCCCAGCAGCCACCTGGTTTTCACACCTCCTCCCTGTAACCTCACTACTGTTGTACTTCTGTTCCAACATACCTCTTTGTTGCCGCACCTACTCCCAAAATCCTTCCTCCAAATAGCCTTTTAGTGTAGCCATAGCCCCTTGACCACCCCCACACCTGTTGTCCAGCCGGAGTCCCTCACCTTCCCCTTGGCCCTAGAGCCCTGTCTTTTGTTTGTTAGTGTTTATTTATGTTTTCGAGATTCGTCGTTATAAACTACTTTGAATTTCAGCACTAATTTTTTCGTTTCTACGTGGTTTGGTTAACTCTGGTATCACACATCTTCCCTAATTCAGGAGAAGAGCGGACCTCTGTACTTTAAATTTCTCAACGAATTATTTTGACTGGGCTATGAAATGTAATTTTTTTTCATTTTTTTGTATTTTCCACCTAAAAATATAGTTGTTTCTTACATTTTTATCATATTGACGTTGTTAGGTTTTGTCAAATTTCATTTTTGTTTTTTTTTCCATATTTTACACGGCCATTTTGGGTAGTATGTGTTAGCTCATAAACTCTTCCCCTCCCTATGCCTAGGATCAATTATTTAGCGGACCACCATGCAAACATTATGGAAGCAGTCTATTTAAGCTATTCAAAATATTCGACACAATGAGTTGGTAAGTTTCACAAAATAAGAAACTGATTCAAGACATTTTTAGTCAGTTTTTTGTTAAACTATATCCGTCGGTCTTTATAATTGTTGTGTTTAGTCTGTCATCTTGTGGATTATATATATAAATCAACAAATGCTAAAATGAATGAGTTCTGGTTCATATATAATTCTGACAAATGATACAGGGTTCTTGATCTGTTCAATGGAATTGTAGAAACTCTTATTAAAACATAATTTACTTCAGCTATTTGTAAATCCTATAATGTGATGATAATGCCAGAGTTTGCCTGAATGGAGCCTGTGGTGGTGCCTTATTTGATAGGCTCGTGGAAAGCAGTGCGCTTCTTTTGACAAATTGATGCAAGACGATAAGGGAAGGCAGGATTTGACGAAGTATGACGAGAGTTTGGAAAAAGGTAAGTTAAATTTTCCGAGAACAATTTTTCATGCCTGAAGCAATGATCTAGGATCTGATACAATTCAGAATTAGAAATAGATTGCCAGCAAACGCATGAAGCGTGATACAAAAATGATCCTGTAAACTATATTATTTTTTATGCATAAAAGAAAGCTTCGATCTATGAAATGTCGTATGAATGCATAACTTACAATGCAAATGATGTCGTTAAGTGTCCGCCATAGAACTTCTACAAGTTCTACATAAAAATTCTGTTGAAAATTAATTAAATTGAGATTTTATACATAACTTTTTGAATAAGCATCATCTTCTCTTCTTGAATTATTTTTTCCGCATCAATTGCTTCCCTATTCTGACACTTCGACTGAACTTTTTGCTCAGTTATTCAAGTAAAATGGAGAATTGCATATAAGGTATTTTGCCCTTCATCATCAACTAATAATTAAAGAGGAAGAATTTGAAGCAACAAAGCAATTTAGCGATAACAAGTTTAAGAAATGGAAAAAATCTCTTTGCAAATGCAGTGGCAATGTTCTGAACATCAACCCCTCCCTAAAGCTTATAATAACGAGACAGCCATGCATTAGATACATTTTTTTTTCATTAACGAAATAGAGAAAATTATGTTGAAGACCAATAGATATAAATGACTCTTTCAACTTGCTAATTCATATGAAAAATCTTCAAGTTACCACACCTGGCAAGAGCTAACGGCAGGACCCATCAGACTCTTAATCTACCAAAGGGTGCATAGATACTAGCTTTGAATAGAAGGTTCATGAAAGTCCTAGGCCATAGCACCTATTGTTTATGAGGATTCTTTGACAAATTTTTAGAAACCTCGGACAAAGAAAAATGATCATGAGGTTGAATATTATTGACGAAAGCAAATTTTAATGATTTTTCCAATTTTTGACCAATGCAACAAAACAATTTGAGACAATAAAGAAGCACTCAATCTGATGTCTCACAATGGCCAACTCAAAGATCACAGGCATATTTTCATCTATCAGAGACTTGATTCTATTTTAGCTCTATGGGAGATTCTACCCAGTCTTATTTACTCATTATCAATATGACTTAACAACACATGAATATAAAATTAAAGGAAAAAAACAGAATATTATAGCAACATAGTATATACTTAAATAATCAACAGGTTAGGAGTAGTACTTCTATAATTAAGAAGATGACGATAAATTTTCAAGAGCCCCTTCTGCCGTGAACACTGAACAAACAATTTAGATGCAACCATTGCCACTGGCTCAACATTTACACCAGTGATTGATTTCAAAAGATCACATGTGCCAGAATTAGAAACCTGTAGCAATTTGAGATCAAAGAATCTTCAAGAATGATAAAATTGTGAAACTATAACAAAAACAAAATATTTGATGCAAATATTGTTGCTGAACATTTTTCTTGAAATAATGACAGAAGGCAACAACAAATCCGTATGGAAAAATGTAAGTTTATAACAGCATATCCAGAAACAGCTGCCCAGACCACCACAAAAATACAAAGCTTTGCATATCCAGAAACAGCTGCCCAGACCAGAAAAATGCTTATGCTCAAGATGTTTAATGGTTGAAGACCTGACATTTTTGCATATGATTACAAAAAATGGTGTCAATTGATACAAATGCCAGAAGAATGGCTCTAGATTGAATATTTGTCCCTCATCATCATGTAAGATGCATATCCTACTTCTACACTTTCTCTCAAAGCCGTGGAAGACAATAAAACCCATGTTCTTTTGAAATTAATATTAGAAAAAGTAATCTTCCTGAAACTGTCAAATGCACTAGAATCATGACCCTATTCATTCTTTTTATATCAAAACATTACATAAATCCAAATCTTTTAAGGTTCTTGCATCTTTGGGGGGAATAAATGCTGCACACAGTTTCACTTATCTTTTAATATCATCAAGCACTTTTGATATCAGAGTTAACCCAAATCACAATAGTGAAAACAAGTATTGCTCAAAAAGCAAATAACAGTTAAAATCAAAGACACTTGGAACTAGGAAATAACAAAGACACAACACGACTCAATTAGGGCTGAAGAAGAACATGAAGGTGCTGCGTTTTAAGGAGAAATAATAGTTAAAGTAGGTTGGAGGTAGCGGGAAAGGGGTGGCACCAAGGGGCAGCAGCAAGTAGGAGAGCAGCTGGATGGAACAGCAGCAAGTTGGAGGTGATTGGAGGGGCTGGTAGCGAGGTAGATTTGGCTGGGAGAGATTGCCAGCTGCAGGTAGCAGCAACGGGGACTATTTTCGAGTGACAGCAGCGACCAAGGAGGCAGCGGCAGCAGAGGAGAGGCTGTGGCAAGCAGAGAGCGATAAATGAACACCACCATGTCGGCCGTTTTTATATTCAACTTGACTTTCGTA